TATATATATATATATATATATATATATATATCATAGGCCGATACGCACGTATCATAATCGGTATCAGGAAGGAAAAAATGGTCTCGAAACATCTCTAATGAGACTTAACATTATATTATACAACCTAAATTGTTTTGTCAAGTAATTCAGTAACTCTGACACAGGACATCTTAATTTTACTGCCACTTCTACATAAGAAAATGTGAAGAAAAAAAGACTGACTTTATAAAATAAGTCAAAAAAATAATTGCAACACGACTCACCAGGTGTCCCAGCAGTGGCCATTTCCTGAGGGCCAGAGGGGCCAGCAGTGGTGGGCTTGCCGCGGAGTTCTGGCTTCTGGGGGCTGGAGGCGAGACCCCTAGAGACGGCCTGATTCTTCAGGGGACTTTGAGGCACTGATGTTGAGGAGGAGGGACCAGCCTTCTGGGGACTGGATGGGAAGGCTTTTCCCTGGAGGGAACTCTTCTGGGGACTAGGGGGGAAGGTCTCCCCCTGACTGAACATCTTCTGAGGACTGATTCCTGACTTAAGTGCCGGCCTGCCTGCAGGAATGTCAGCCTTCTGAGGGCTTGGGAGAATCACTCGGCTCGGCTTCGCTGGACAAATCAGAACCTGTTAAGAAGACATGCAATAGTTTTATTCATAAAGCAGATTGAAAAACAACATGAGTTGGGGGCGTCCTGGTGGTCTAGGGGTCTAACTAGGCATTTAGAACAAAACAAACATGAAAGCTGCTGCGTTGACAGAGGCATGTTGCTTCAGTGACACCTCGTACTAAATGACACTCAGATATAACTGCTTATGCTGAAGAAAAAGACAATTTCAGATAAATCTACCTGAGAGCTGGGTGTAGATTTGATGCTTCCTGTTGAACTGGCCACCACATGGCCAGCAGCACTTGGTTTAGTGCCGGCAGCCACCGCAGCGTCTCTGACTGCTAACTTATGAACCACTGTACCAGGCTTCTGTTTTGCAGTCTCAATGGGAATGTTAGCATGGCTCAGGTCGTCTTCCCAGGTTCCAATGGTGGCGGCGAGGTTGGCGAGTCGGCCTCTCCTCCCAACGGGAGTTCCCGAGGACACGGGGGGGACGGCAGCTGGTGGGACCTCAGCTGGTTTCTTCAACGGGGACAGGGAGGTGCAGTCTGGAACTTCATCAGAGGAGTCTGAAAAGGGGGCAAAATGTTTGATATGGACAGGGACAAACTATATGACAGAGAGACGTATGAAAGAAAGGACAGCACACACCCCTTTATGACTACAATTGACAAACTACAGTCAAAAAACAATCCAGTTGTGTGTTTTGTTATTGTGGTGTGATGCTTCCTTTTTGTTTACCCCTTGATTATAGATTGTGTCTTTAAATATTGTACATTCGTTTGATGAATACCAAAATAAATGAAGAAAGATAATCTCAACCAGCAAACATAATATCCGTACCATCACCATCCCAATACTTTCTCTGCTGTGCTAGCCTCTGCAGACGAGACCTCATGCCAGCAGCAGGTGGAGCTGCGACTTCCACCAGGTGCTCCTTGTTCCCCTGCCAGGCTGAACTGGCAGGCGCCATCTCTACTTCTCTGCTCCTCGGAGGATTAGGAGCTGGGGTCATTTTCTCTGGCTCTGGAGTTTTCTGCTGCCCTGGCTGAGGCTGGACAGCAGGCCGGGTAGCAGTCTTCTCCAGGGAGGAGGAATGACCAACGCTGGCAGGCCCCACCGGGGGTTTCTTGTCTGTGGGAGGATCCGCGAGCACAGGAGCAACCGCTCGTGTCGTCACTGGCTCCTGGTTTTCCTCACCGGCTGCAGGCGAGGCATTTTCCTCTGAGCACCTGCGCTTGGAGGGAGAAGGCCTGGAGGACACCTGTGGAACTGGGAGGAAGTGACAGGGAAACATAAGCAAGGAGGAGAGCTGCAGCTCACTGGTCAAACTGACGGGACAAGTCTCGGCAGACAGCAATCCAACACATGTGTTCGTACCTTTATCAGTGACTGGCTCACTGATCACACTATTGGTGTCAGCCAGCGGCTCTCTGGGCCGTTTCACCATCTGTCTGTTGGCTGCATTTGGTCTCTCTGCCATTTTCTTCTGCAGATTCTCTCTGCGAGCCCGAGTCCGCTCCAACAGTTTCTGGTTTGACATAAAAAAAAAGTTACAATGGCTGCTTTACACTTTCTGAGGAAGGACAGAATGACATCAGAATCTATCCATCTGTCAATCTATATAAAATTGTTTTTATGACCAGAAACCTGAAGAAAACAATATTTTCAATTGGAAAGCTTGTTTCCACTATTTTCCAAAGAATCATGAAAAACGACATGAGGCTGACGGTGCTATGAAAACTGATCTTTAACTATGTTGTGCCATAGAATTTGAGACTCAGACCTCTTTTATAATCACACTTGTGAGACTTGCAGTTAGTCTGTGTATTGGTCAAAATATGCTGATTCTCTGTCCCAAATATCTGCTGGATCTGTAAATGCAAATGTTTGGAAAAAGGGCAGAGCACATAGTCGGTCTCTATGTGAGCTACTAACAGGCAACACAGACACGTAAAACAACCCTTCACCAGAGATAAAAAAGGCTTCTGTTTGCTTGCCCTCTTGATCCCTTTTTCTTCTTTCCTTAACGTGACATGCCCTTCCCTTGGTCTCACAATCTGATTTACTGTCTGTTAACTGTTCAAGCCCAAACACATTCCTGCGGCTGCACCGCCTTCACAGTGTGGAAAACTTGAAGTCACATTTAATAGCATTCCTCAGGAATGAGACACTCCTGCATGTAGTTCCTGGATTTGAAATTTCAAACTCTACTGGCTCAGATACAAGTAACAAGAAATGCAGTTAGAAAGAGGAAGACAAATTCTAGTATAAGCTTGTAACAACAGCATGAGTGCATGAAGGCAAAGAGAGTGTTGGACACTTTCCAGTGCTGACACATACCATTGCCTTAAATGGAGGCAAAGCTGTTTGATTTGAATAACAGTCATTGCTGGAGTGAAATGAAGAAGTACAAAAGTGAACTGGTCAGGCAGAAGCCTGGCTAAATTAGACAACGTAATTATTGCGAAATGGTCAAACATGTAACCGTAACGTTAGAAAACTTAAGTTACATAATAGTTACAGCTAGCTGTTAGAAGATTGTGGTGAATTACAAAGCTAACTGTTAGTTGTTATTTTTATTTTAGATTTGTGGTTGCAGACAACTGACAAAACAAAGACACAACACGTGATTTTTTTTTTTTTCCATTGTACATATTATCATACAATACAATTCTGCATAGAAATGTAAACATACGACACATTATTATGGAAGTAAACAAGCTAAGTCTCCTGCCATAATTAGGACATAGGAAATGTTGTGTTAGCATTAGCAAGTAACGTCAACCTTACGTTAGCTAACAGCTAACGCTACATAATATCTGCCGTTAGTTAACTTACCTCAGTAAATGGATCCATTTCGGACAGTTTATCCCTATCGATCACTATTTAAACAACGCTGTTAAAGTGCTGTACACACGATACGTGTACACAAACGGTGAGGAAGAGCTGGGCGGCTCTCAGCTTGTCTTCTTCTCTCTTCTACTCTGCAACAAAACAAGTGTTCAAATTTGAATTTCAGCGCTGGACCTACTGCGCATGCACCAACAGTTGGAAGCCCTTGAGGAACCAATCAGAATCAAGGAGCCTTGGACAACCTATCACAGCCTGGGTGCGTGGTCACGTTACAAGAAGGCGTCACTCCATGATGCACTTCACATGTTTTATGAATCAGTCTTCTGTGTATTCAAATGATAAAGCGGTTAAAACGTACGCTGACCGAGTTCCCTTCGTCGTCTGCAATGTGATCTGCAACATGCACAACAGATACACTTTAGAGACAAGTTTTTTTTGTAGTTTCCACTGTTTAACTTACACCAAAAAAGATGAGCAGATATGCTAGAAAAATGTTGTGTTTCCATTAAAAAGTCCCCATGTTTTGTAAAACATGCGAAACAAAAAAATCTCTGCATACAAACAATTCTTCTGTCTGTATATATACTATTTACAGTTATATTTTAGTTATTGTGGATTTTTTACTTTTTTACTTAGTTAATATTCTTTAATATTTATTACTTATTTACTTATTTATAATACTTGTTTTGGTCTTGTTTTTATTATGTCTCTTGTTTGCACTATCCACTATGCTGCTGTAATCCTGTAAATTTCCCTGCTGCGGGACTAATAAAGGATTATTTTCTTTTATCTTATATCAAATCCTGCATTAACTTTTCAATTAATCAGTCTAGTCAAAAATTCAAAGTACAAGTTTAAAAAGTTAGTGTTAAATGTTAAATGTCATGACTATTAATAACAGGAAGTGTCAGTATGAACTGAGTAATTTGCTATCCCCTGTTATCCCCTGTTATTTGAAGGCACACACATATACAGGATATGTGTGTGCCTTCAAATAAATAAATAAAAAAATGTTTTATAATTACAAGTAATTTTACAAATGCCAGCAGGACAAAAGTATTGTCTAGATGTCTTTTTTTTCATGTTAATAACATTACATTGAATTGCTGTGAAAATTGGCTTCTTTCAGGTGCAACCAGTCCACAGAAAACTACAATCATAGCGTCTACTCACATTATGTCTACGTTTGAAGTGCTGAATCTGAATCTATTGGCAAATAGATAAGTTCCGAATTACAAATAATGACTGCCTCTCAAGTGTCTCAACCTTTCCTCAAAGGGACTACATTTCCCATGAGTACCCACGTGAAATACGTGTAAGGTAGTCATCAACGAAACCTTGGAAACAGATCAGGTGACCGTTCTACACGGACAGCTCTACTCCTGTCAGTGTGGCTGTAGCTCGGTTGTAGGCGGTGTTCTTCAGCTCAGCTCAGCTGTGGTTTTTAGGTTTATTTACAGACGCCTTAACGCCTTAACAGAGGATGCTGGAGTCAATTAAAGTAACAGGTAATGTTGCATTTATCTTGTGTTTCTCTTATTTTCCCGTGCCCGTAGCGAGGAGCTCAATTATTTAAAGAAATCGGCGACATTAATAACTGAATATGATACCTTAATAATGGCCATTATGGGAATTTGAAACTAAAATATGAGCTCCAGAAGGCTAATGTGAACATAATAAACTCATTATCACTGGGGAAATTGAGTATATTTTAAGAAAGCATGAATGTATTCATTACTTTACATTATATTGTATCTTATATATTATATTATGTTTTTTTTAAATATCTATTTAAATCTGCTTTTAACCTATAAAGTCAGTTATGTATGTTTTTTTTTTTTTCGTGTTGTCCCTTACTGTTATGATGTCATCTATTTTGTTTTTATTGTAATTACTTCTATTGTTTCTGTTTTTACCAGAAATACAAATAAAATGTATTTATATAACCTATTTTGTATTTTACAGATTTGTGTTGTAAAGACTTGTGGTAGATTGATAGTGAGTTTACTCAGTGCTGACTCATGCTCATGACTGCTAATCATATGCTTTTTATTGATAATCGTGCATCATCAATGCACTATTGATGTGATGGAGACGCTTGAGCATTGATTCATTTTGTTGTGCAGTTCAACCACATTCAGGTTCACGACTGTGATTTGCTGTCATACATTTAATTTCATAAAAGGTAACTGGTGAAAATGAACATTCACACACCCAGTATCCACTAGATGGGGATTCTGGGTTGGTTACTCATTTGCCTACAGTGTGATATCAGAGTAGCCTATCATGTCAGGTGAAAGTGATTGATGGAACACCCAGCTGATGTGTTAGGTAATAGTGTTTGATTTGGTGGCTGAGCAAAGCCAAGGAAGCTCCAATGTGTCCTCGGTCGCTCTTCCAATCATTGCTGCGCTTGTTGAGGTCATTAGTTTGTGCTCTCTGTGGCTGCACGGATTCCGCCTCAGTGCTCCTGTCCGAACAGAGTGCCAAGCTCTGACTGTGATGATGTTCCAGGTCACCTTACTGGAAACCGCAAAGCCTCGCACTCTGACTCCCGTGCTTTACTGTCGGTCTCTGGAGACAAGATGAGAATAATTTCCTCTGTGATGGCATAGCAGCATGGAACTGAATGGTTATTCGAGTCAGATCACATCATTATGATCGTTAAGAAAAAGTGGGGAAAGATAGTTGCTACTTTAGAGTTTAAGTTCACCGCACTGATTACAAGTTTTGATATGCATATACTGTCAATTATTAACTTGTTTTTTTAGCTTGGCATTGGAATAGATCTATTTTTATCCTGCCTTGATAAGAGGATTACTCTATCCAGCTATCTGTAAAAGATCGGCACGTGAAGGTGATCCTAAAGTAAGCAGCAAACACATTCACTGTCTTCTCTGACTGGTCTCTCATCTTTCTTCTTTCAGAAAGACTCCACTGGCCAGAAGTAGAAATGTCCAAAAAGTACATCTTAAACTCAGTGAGTCCAAGCCAAGTGTACCTGGAGAAGATTTCTTCCAGTGTCCTCAAAGACCTCTTCAGCACTGGCTCCAGCAGCTACAACGTCCTGCTGCAGGCTGAGGAGAAGAAGATTCAGAAGCAGTCCCCGTACAAGAGGCCAAAAACATCAGTGAAATGTGGCGCCGCATGTAGTAGAAGAAAAGTCATGGTTCCTAAAAAGTTGCGTGTACCAGAAAGTGTCTGTAAACCTGCACAGACTAATCGTGTTCTCTCAGGCAACTCCAATCACTCTAAACCAGTAAGGAACATGGCAATAGTGGGCAGCACCATGGGCCTAACCACACGTGCTGCTCCACAGCTGAGAAAAATGTGCACCCCCAATTCCCCCCGCACTAAACTGCCCTCGTTGCACAAAGCAGCAATCACACGGGAAGTGGAAAATGCCAAGAAGCTCTGCATCCTTACAGCCATCAAGCCGTCTAATGTTCAGAAAGAGAAGGCCACGTTTTTCAAGTCTGACTTCAACTACGATCCACAGTTCGAGTACAGCAACCCAGCCTCCCCAGTTGTTCTGGCACGGCATAGCAATGCCTCAGACCACTTCCTCACACAGGTAAGCTTGTGTTTGTGTTGGGAACAATTGAATGATTTGTTTCATGATAAACACAGCTTTATCATAAGTCTCTGTGTTGCTCTGAAAGTATCAGAGGTGCTCCATTAAAGTGAAAAATGGGATAGAGAAACTGAAGAACCTACAGTCAGTAAGTGCAGAAGCCCACCAATTTTTTTGGCCCCGAGGCAGTGACATGTCATTCATCAGATCTACTACAAAGCCCCTGGTGCATGAGCTTGCTGCAGAGCTGGCTGGTTTGAGATCAGCAACCTCACACATGCCAGCAGTCAAGCTGCACACTGTGATCACAGAGACTTGCTGCCAAGGCTGTTTAGCGTCAGGGCAGATCAGACCTGGTGCAGTGTGAGTGTGTTGACTAAGTGAAAGAGGAAAGTGGCTGGGATGAATTAGTTAGCATAGAACCTTGGGCGGAACCCATAAGATGAAGAGAATTTGCCAATAAATTGCAACTTATCTACTTTTGCATTTGTTTTTTCTTCTAAATAAGTTGTCTGACTAACTGGTGGTTTGATTAAAACTTGATTGTCCGTTTGGGTTTCTTGTGTGTTTTTTTCTTTAGTAATATAGCAGTTTTTGCCAAGTTGCCAAATACTGCATGTCCAAAGCATCAACGACAGAAGGTGTCAAAACAGTCATTAGTCTCATGCAGCTTTCACGTTATGACCTTCTCGTCTCTTGTAGGCAGTGCGCATCATGGAGCTGGCCCTGCAGCGATATGGCAGCTATGAGAAGTTTGAGAAGGCCACCGGCGGCAACCTCCTCACCAAGAGTCGCGTCTGGCACAACATCAAGAAATACATGGAGAAGGAAGGCTGCGTGGGGGAGGTAAGAGGACGGGCCACTCAGGCTCTTTTGATAATGGAGATGCATTGCTGTTATTGTAGTTTACATTTGTTTCACAGATTGATTCAACCACAACAACAAACGTACACACATGTTCTGACAATTCCCACCGTAGAGTGTATTACACACTGTAAAGAAAGTCCCTAAGAGGCTGTAATTTGGAGCCTGGGATCTTTCTGTGGCTGCACTGCAGTCTGTGTCATGCTGAATTTGTACATCATCATTGCAGAGCAGCAGACAGCAGGGCATCAAAGGGAAAGAGCTCCAGGGAAAAGTAAGACCTTGCAGAAAGACGCGTTCACTGAAGTCATCCTGAAGTTTGCTCGTGCGGAGCTGTGTTTATGTAACCCGTCAACAAAGACGATGTTACATCATCAAGTTATTAATGTTCCACTGAAAACATTACATCACACATACACACACCTTGTGTATGCGTGGTAAAGTCTTAATGGGTTTAGACATGCTAGACAGTGGAAATAAAATACAAGGGAGAGAATGGCACTAACAGAGAAACCCACCCAAAATACATTTTGTTGAGCCCAGCTACAAATGATAGAAGAAGATATTCCAGGAATGTAAAGCATCAGTGATTATGGAGTAACTCAAATTATTAAGCGTCTGTATACTTACGAGGATCTGCAAGGGTTTTGCACAGCGATCACACTGACATGATCTGAATGCAACACAAAATACTAATAAAAACAATCAGTGCTTCCTGAACAAGTCAGTCACACTACCTCACTATGTGAATCAGATTAAGTAGGTTAAGTAGATGCAAGTAGCATCATGTCGCCACAAGAAGTTAATATCTTGTCCCCTTCTTCATTGAAATGAATGGGAAGTACCTCGCTTTAGATGCGATCACACAGAAGTACTGGACATCCTTCTTCCCGGCGACGTTCTTCAGCTCCAACTGGGGAATTCCTACAAATGAACACACATGACACGGCTAACACAATAGCTAATCTTAGTGTTTTTCTTGTCATTATGTCACGAATGCGATATCGATAATGTCGGTAAGTGGTTGAAGTGGATTGGACAGGTTTAATGAAAATACAGCAAAAAGAAAAACGTAAAGTTAACGTTAATTCTATCTGTTGAAAGATCGTAGCCCAGGTGACAGACGACCTCCTGTCCAGAGCCTCCATGACGGTGGTGAACAGCAGACCCACACTCACCATCAACAGCTCCACTGCCAGAGAGCACTGGCTTGAAGGCATGCTGCGGCATGAGATCGGTGGGTACAGTAGCACCCACACAGGACTTCTGTTGTATTCTTCATGTGGGGCTACTGGAACATCTGATTGTATTTACTTAAAGATTGTATTTGGTATCAATACACTGTGTTATCAAACCGTTTTATGGATCTAATCGATGCAGTTTCTAGTAAAGTTGGCTTGAATTTGAACTTAAATACAACCATGTTAATAGTCCTTGTGACTGTCTACCAGGCACACATTATTTCCGCGGCATCAACAACTGCCACCAGCCATGGAGCAGCAGTGTGGGCAGGAAGAAGCACAACCTGAAGCCTCTGAACCCCACAGAGGAGGGCCTGGCCAGCATCCACAGTGTCCTGTTCAGGAAAGACCCCACACTGTGGCGCGCCGCTCTGCTCTACTACACCGTCTACCAGGCCAGCCACATGTCCTTCTCCCAGCTCTTCCACAATCTGGGACGCTTCGTCCAGGACCCCAACACCCGCTGGGACTACTGCGTCCGGGCCAAGAGGGGCCAGACCGATACAGCGCAGCCAGGTCACTACGATTACACATTAGATTAGATGTAGAGACAATCTGAGATGATTCAAATGTGATATGTTTAACATAACGTGAAAATATTGATATTAACCTTTTAAAATTATTTTGTCACCTCCCACATTGCAGGGTGCTTCAGTAAAGACCAGGTCTACCTGGATGGTATCCTGCAGATCCTGAGATACAGAGACAAGATCGACTTCCCACTGCTGATGGCTCTAGGAAAGGTGAGGTAGCTCAACTATCTCCATCTGGTTGTATTTGACAATTTACTGATTCACTAAGCAGCAGCTTTATTGAATGAATGCTTCCTGGATTATCAACAGGTGCAAGTCTTTGTATTAGATGCTTCAGTGCTGTCGTTCACAACCTGAATTAAGCCAGTGGCTGCTCCTCCCTGCCACTAGTTTCTCCTCGTCAATCAGTCGCTGGCTGAATCCAAATGTCCACCCTCTGACATCTTTCATATGTACTGTGATGTTTTCTGAATCTGGACATTTAAATGTAATCACCGTGTCCCATTTGTGGGGCCACCTCCTCGGTAGGGCAGTCTATCAGAAGACCAATGACTTGTGGGCTGAGCCAATGCATCCTCTCCAAATAAGAGAGCAAAAGCTGAATTAGTATGTCACTCAACTTGCGTCTATTTTCCACCATTTACCCCGATCCTGGTCTTGGTGACAGCAAGGTAAGGTAGTCCAGGTATCCTTCTCCTAGGCACGTCCTCCTCCTGAGGTTTCCCCAGGGAGGTGTCCAATAGGCAGCAAAATCAAATGCAGTTACTACCTCAACCACATAAATGCTGCTTGTAAGTGCAACTTCATTCTCTCGGTCATTACCCCAAAGCTTATTTTCCACTACAGTGTTGTACACAACAACCTACAAAGTGGTAAATACTAGTCGTGAACGTCTTCCCTTGATACCCTCCACTGCCGGGCACTTCTCTTTCCTGATATTTGCACAGCTTCCTCTTGAATTTCCTCAGTGATGATGCTTGTTCTGTATCAGAGTATCAGATTAGGCCTCATTGTTGTGCTGACAGTGTCCTGTAGGAAGGTGCATGAATTCTTTATCTCACACACAGTTATGTTGCCATCAAAAGCTGCTTTCCTTCCTCGATTGTCCTGTTGGTGACATCATGTTTCTAATAGTATCTCCTCTCTATCAATGCTCCTACGACACCACTATAGCAGAAAGTAACAGCAGAACAATATCATTTCTGACATTCAGTTGCTTGAAATAGAAGTTTAACTGCACAGAAGATGGTTACAGTTCAGATACAGAGTAAAGTGACTAGAAAGGCTGAATGAGGCTGATGTGATAACCTCTCTAAGGAGGGAACAGACCGTGTTCTTCTGCTTCAAAGGGAGCTGAAGGCACTGATGATTAAACTAGGTGCTAATTCCAGCTGTAGATGTGGAAGCTGATGTAAGAAGTGATGTGTCTTCAACAACCTGATCTCACAGAAACACGTGAAATGAAAGGGTGGCAGGTGATTGCAGTGCAGCTGGTTGCTAATTCTTCTTTCTCCTGCGGGTTTAGGTGTCATTTGAAGACGTGGACCGCCTGAAAGCACTGGCTCAGATGGAAAACGTCCGCATCCCGCACTTCATGCAGGACCAGGCGAGGTATGCCGAGCAGCTGGAGAAAATCATGGCGGTGAACCAGCTGACTGACGAGGAGCTCAAGGCCATCATCTGAGCCAGCTCCGCCACACAAACCTGCTCACACCTGAAGGAAAGCTGTCGCACCACTGCCAGCCGTGGCCCGCATGCCTCAACACCATCATCTTGCATGGTAGCAGAGTGTGTGCAGCATGCTATAGTGCATGCAGTGTAAAGTTAGATAAATGCATTAGTTGACTTTGGCTTTGAATTATAGATCTGTTATTGTCATATCTCCACTGATACAATCAGAGAATCATTTCAGTGTTGAGATAAGGGCTGGAAGTAGTTTATTGTTTTTACCAGTGCCAATACAATACCTGAATTGCTGATCAATACAGATATAATAACATTTTCTAAGCACTTGGTGCCAACGTTTTTTAACTTGTTAGTCTCTGATATTCAGTTTGGTCTTAGGTTTGGGAGGGCTTTTATTAATATCTCCTCCATAGCTAATGGTTTTAAAAGAGTTATTAAAAGTTGTATTAATATTTGAGAAGGATCCCTTAAATTTATGATAATTTCATATATTTTACAATTGAATAATACGCTTGTCAGTGTTTTGTGGTGGTCTAACTATGTAATGGTGAGACTGTTTTCAAATTGACTTCTAACTCATCTTAGGGATTGTCTTGTACTAGTTGGTAAAATGCACTTTGACCCATTGCATGCCCCGCTGCCATAAGGGAACCAGGACTGTTGTTTTCTTTGCTAACATAAAATGGGGATACTAGCGGGCGATGCTGAAAGTATAATCATCACAATCATTACATCATTACATCTGAGACATGATGTGTGCAAACATTTTGGAATTAACAGAATAGAAAGTCTGGATAAAGGTGAAGCTCTTTGCTGATCTTTCGACTGCAACCGCCTTTCACCAACGTTAGCTTGTTACTCAGTGAAGCAACAGAGTCACTGTGTATGAATAGAAATACAGTAATTCTACCACAATTTCAGTAGTAAATTGGGTTAATTGGGTTTCATTTGGATTCGTTAAAATGACATGCTAATTTGCTAATATTGCTCATGTTACAAGATACATGTATATACACAACAATCTTCTATCATCTACACTCACGGATCTCATTTGCGCTCGCTGATTTTGGCACTGATTTGCCATCATAGTTAGCCAGTGATATTAAAATGCTGCCCCAGAGGCAATTACAATTAGACAATTGTGACTTTCTTGGAGACTTTTTGGATGCTTCTTTTGTTGTGGACTTGTGCATGAATATGGTTAGCTTAAGCATCAAAAACGCATTGATCTCGTTCTTTGTCTTTCTCTCATGCACCTGTGATCTAAGTGTACTTACCTCGTGTTTTATATCCGTCTCTTTAGTGGGGATAAACACATTCTTGCACTTTTTTTTTTTAATCCTCTAGCAACCACTTAGGGTTACTATTTTTGTAGTACGGATGCTAGGTTGAAGCCCCGTTTGACTATTTGCACTTTGTTACCTTCAATCTACCTTTTCAACTGCACTGATATGGGCAGTTACTGTGTTGGTGTCATAGACAGTGTAAAAGAAATGGATGTAGTGATGTGCAGTTTGGAGGCCTTGAGTTTGGCATTTTTGACTGTCGCCATCTTGTTTTTTTGGAGCCAGGAGTGACCATATATGGATGCGAGGTCCTCAGGGTAGCGACCTGCCAATCACAAAGTAGCCCCGCCCTAAAGCATACTCTGCTTTATCGTCTATTTCACTCTAAATGGGATCATAATTTACTCATTGAACATCATGCTGTATTGAAGAAGACTTGAAACTAGAGATTGAGACCATAAACTAATGTTTACTGAGGTAATAAATCAAATGAGAAGTCATTTTATTATAGACTTCTATGCAATCAAAATTAATTTGACATCCAAATCAGTCGCCCCCTGATGGACATTAGAAAGAATGCAAGTTTAAGGCACTTCTGCATTGGCTTCACTTTCCACACCCGGAGGCTACATCCACTTCTTTTATACGGTCTATAGTTGGTGTCGTTTATGATATATTTATGTTATACAAAACAAAACAAAAGCCTTGTGGTTCTACTGTGATACTTGATGAGTTGTATGTGTCGTTAATATCAGGAATGACTTAATATCGAGAGCACGTGTGCTACTCTGCCCCTTAATATAGCACCGTTTAATTACACGGCTTTCCTACGTAATGTTTTCTATTTGAGTGACTTTTTTGTGATATTTACAGAATATAATCTTCAAATAAAGTGGACTACCTGAAAATGGGTTGTGTGCTTTGTGTCTCCCAAAGTATATATGTATTTACTTTTGTATGTGCATCCTTTACATTTGTAACACAAAACACTGAATGTTGCATTTCTATTCATAGCAGCTGGATGTGATGTTGAATGGCGCGTGCCACATTGGATGCACGTGTCCAACATTCACTTCTTTTTGGCTTTCCTCTGGAAAAAACCATCTAACTCTTTAGCTGCTAAATGCTCCACTTTTCACACAGTGAAAGGAACTACTTCCATCAGTTGTAGACTGCCAGACCATGCATCCCATCGGTGGCGAGGAATTATTGACCATTTCTTACCCACTCAGGTTTGGATCCCGCCAATGCTAACAGACACTGCGTTCCAGATTGCATACTTTGTATTTGTACTTTTAGTACATACTGTAGCTGCCCTTACAAAGTAGGTACTGTTCTCTCTACTCTTCTCAGTGTCAGAGATCAATAAGAAAAGTTTCCACAGTTGAACATGCTGCTCCACAATCTGAGGGACCGCAGTAACCAAATCTGACACAACACACACTCACTGCTGGCCTCTACAAACCCTGTCCAGAGGTGTCACACTTCCCATTCCCCAGCGTCTGGTTTCACTGGGGAACTGGAAACCATTGAGGGGCCCCGAGTGGTGACTGACGGCTACAAGCAGTGACATGCTGCAAAATAGGTATCAGTGTATACACAGCAATCACACAGAGGCCTCCCCCTCCCACCTCCTTACACTTGGCTCTGGTAGTGCACTTCTAATGAGAATGCCCTCTCCTTAGAAGGTTTTTGTGTATGGAAACTATTATACATGTTTTCCCCACTGAAGTGCACTAATGTACTTTCTTTTTTTTATTTTTTCAGACTTTTATTTCATGTTTTCTTCCCCTCTGCATTTTCTAACACTTTTTATTGCTTGTGGAATATGTTTGTTGTTTGTATCTCTGGATTGTTTTATTATATGGTTATTAATATCTTCATTTTTGTAACCCAAAGTGGTTGATTGAGATGGGAAGACAAAATTTTCAGTTATTTTAGGAATGAATACATTGAACGTTGTTTAGAAGACTGTTCTGCTGAAGTGAGAAAACGCTGTCATCAGATGAGGAGACAGTTGAAGTGGTTATTGTGAAATAGAGCAAAATCTCCACTAGAGGACAGCAGATCACTATAAAACAATTTCAGGCAGTGAACTACAACAGCAGAAACGATCCAGAGAAATGCTGAAATCTTATTCTCATAATCATAATCCACCAGATATCAATTCTAAATTTAGGTCGACATCTCACTGCCAGCTGAAAGCAAGACACATAAAAGATATATTAAATAATGGACTATACATACATTTATATAGTATATATATATATATATATATATATATATATATATATATACACATTTTTTTGAATTTCCACTACACGTTTGAAAATACTGTTCAAAATAAACACATAAGAAAATGTGTTTTTTACATATTATATAATTTTAATAGGTAAATACCTTTTAAGTATGAGAATATGGCTACACAGGTATGCACAATATGAATTAAAACTACGGTAAACCAAGCATCACAGGCTATGCTATTTTCAGCTTGTTAGCAAAATATTATTATGACATTATTGTTATCTAAGAATTTAAATAAACAGTAAAGTTTGCAAAAGTCATTATCTTGGTTGTATTAATTATTATGTTGTATATACTGTATGTACATATATATGAATTCTATGTTTTGGACATAAGGCTGTTTTCATCACTGTTCATAGTGATACCTATAAAAATGCAATACAATATAATTCATATACAACCCTCATAATGAATTCATATTTAATCCATATAATCGTGAGTCAGGGCAGGTGATGTACCGAGTGAAGCAAACATCTTCCAACACCTTTAAAGTTGACTAATAATTCACATGTTGTTGTTGCTGACAAACACCATCCACCTAATCCTGGTTTCAACATTTACCACAAGCAGGAAACCATCATGGAGATAGTAAACGCAAAGTAAGTTCATATTTTTTTTTGGATATTTTGAATGCTTCAGCATTAATTTACTTGCATGTATTTATAGTCGGCTAACAAAAAAAATATTTCACGATGGTATTAACAGTTGTTTGGCACGCAGGAATTAAATAATGAAGACGACTAAAGAGGAGGAAACTACACTCTTTACCAGGGAAATCCTGATTTTATAAAAACTTTTTAAGAACTTAAAATTTTTGGCCATTTTTTAAGGGTTAAAGGACAGATGATCCAAACAATTATCCAAATATAATTGTTGTATTTTAAAGTCAGAGAGGAGGATGAGTCCGAGTCCACCAGAAAGCATCCGAACAACAGGAAGTTGTTTACCGTCGCTGCATGACTTCCTGCAGCAGCTGAGGAAGTTCAACCTTCCAAATTCAATGACGGTGCACCACCATATTCGATCTGCTGAGAAGGCTGCAATCTGCCGTCCCTCCAGGATCTTTAAGATAGTGGCCAACCCCTCCCACCCCTGACTTTTTAAAACACCCTCAACCTGCAGAAGGCTGCAGTCCATCAAGACCAAAACCGCCACAAGAACATTCACTGTGATTTAAATTTAGCAGTACTCGTTTCTTTCTTTTCTTTCCCCGTTTGTTATTATGCACAAAACTCTCAAACCAAATTCCTTGCATACAAAAATCTGATTGTTGTATTTCTGCTAAAGCATAAAACATTACCTTCTCTATCACCTGAAAACATATTTAGATTGTTCTAAAAGAAAAGCATTTCTGTCCAAATGTAGAACATAAAAAAATAGCAGTTTATACTGTAGTTAGAATGAAACTACTTTCATTCCACTACTCCCAAGTGGCCAAAAGAAAGGAAATTGGGATTAAATGGCATGTATTCTCAAACCAATTTGTGCTTAATTTTGCTTGATTGGTAATCCAGCAATGGGAAGAACAGATGTCATGCAGTCAAATGCATTGATTAGCTGTCTTTCACCTGCACACAGAGCATGTATGGATATCTCTATTCTCTACTGAATCAAAACACATTTGTTATGTTCTCCGACAGGTTCTCCTAGAATAAGATCGCTTGTGTTATAATGTGGATCTATTCGTATCTGTGATCAGCGATTGATACAAAAAACAATGAGTGAGTTTTTGTCCCTTTAAAATAATCTCCGTGGAGCCGGTTAACGAGCAGAGGCAATGTCCTCTGACGGCCCTCTGCTCATTTCCATCACAGAGGACGAACACACGTGCACACAGAGAGCTGGCTTACATAATTTAGTAGAGCTCAGCCTTCATGAGCTCTACAGCCGGGATGTTATCACCCTCTCAACTGCCAGAACGGATAAGCGTCACAGCAGAGCCGTTGGAGAGCCGGGTCATTCAGAGGATCCTGATGAGACTAATGAGAGGTCGGACACAGCTGGAACATCTTTCAATTTCTCTTTATTTTTATATACATATAGAAAATGTTTGGCACATTTCTTTTTAAAGTACATTATATATATATTTTGTCGGAACAGTTTATGGCTCTATGACCAGTTACTATGATACATTGATAAATTGAAACCAAAAAGGCAATCTTGGCACTTCTTCACATTCATCAGGAAACTCTTTGCTCCACAGCTAACCAAGACGAAGCAGGATCCGGGTTGGTCAAAGTCTTATGTCACTAACTGTCTTTTTCTGTGTCTGTGGATGTCGTCACCGCTCATGTTTGGGTATAATGTCTCCTCTGTCCACCACTGCTATGCCAGGCCTGCTCAACTCTTTAGGGGACACGTCTGCGTAAAACTCAGCCACCACGGGGCAGTGATCCGACGCCACGCCGCCCCACGACCAGTTGTCTGGGATCCAGGGGTTGGTCAAGCCCTCCCGCACCACCGTGCAGTGGCCTGTGGGAGGGAAAGACACAAGGAGATGTAAAGTCAGCCACCAAGACAAAGGATTTGCACAGTGAGGTAAACTTGTAACAAAAGCTGTGACATATCCAACTGTCATGAACTCAAGCATTAGCTGAAGCTGCAACTAGACTCCATTCATCATAAATAACTGTGACTACCGACTCATGGTTGTACCATGTTGCAGTTGTGTAAGTGGACGTTTGTGCCAAATATCCCGTTCACTAGGATGAACCGTACGTACGTATGGATGGACGGACAATCCGAATACATATGTAAATATTGTATGTAAATACATATACATAAAAAAGTAAACCAGGTGTCCTGTACTGCTACATGTAAATGTCAGAACAGTCGGGTCGAGTCAGACTCAAGTCATAAAATGAAGCAACTAGCAGGCCTTTTTAAGGATATTTAATTAGGTGGCCTATGTATTGAGGCCTTGGTCTCAGTCATGTAAAAATGTTTATAGGCCTGACTTGTACTTGTCTCAAATAACTTGACACTCGACTTTGAGTCGTTGCACTCAAGACTTCACTTGGACTTGTCTTGAATGACTTGAAACTTGACTTTGACTTATGTTGAATGACTTGAGACCTTATTAAAACTTGTTTTAATTGACTTTGACTCCAGACTTAAATTTGACCTGTATCAAATGACTCAAGACTTGTTTTCGACTATTCTTCACTTGATGTGTCTCTACCACTGTCCAAAAAACGCCCACACAGTGCACTTACCAGAATAGATCTTCTTGAGGGAGCGGCTCACCCAGATGTTGTCCAGACAGCGGGTGCCCTGTGGTGAGCGGGTGCTGATGTTGGTGAACTGGGAGGATGGTACCAGGGCACAGAGCTTCTCCTTTCTCAGAATGTCCAGCTCTGAGCTCTGAGCAGGCGAGCCAAAATCTCCCAGCACCAGCAACTCCTTCTCAGCTGCGGAGAAAGATGCGTAGAAAAAGATTGAGAATAGGAGGACTTTATCATAATTCACCTCCATATAGAGATGGAGGACGCACAGGACACAATGTTTCAGAGACTTTGTTTCATTCATTCTGGTGACTTTTAAGGTGGGAGAAAGAAATACGGGAGAATTGGGACAGTTGTCAAGTTTGGTCTGCGATCACTTTAGTTTTGGTCCGTCACTCCAAACTGACACGTGTTGTGATGTGTAAAATAAGTGACTTTCACTGATCTAGCCGGACAGACTGACCTTTGATTGTTTCCTGGATGCTGGGTGGGAGGTGCGGACACTTGGCTTCGTCTGTGTTGTGGTTCTTGCCGTTGGACTCTCCTGATGCAGCTGTGGCCTGCATGTGGACGTTCACCACTGTCAGCTCGTATGAACCAACCTAATGGGAAAAGTCAGAAAGTTGATTTTAGTCAGAATCCAGTTGGCAACAAAACAAAACAAAATGCAGGGACATGCATGTTGGTTACAACATGTGTTGTTGCTGCATAGATAATTATTTATCATTCAACTAAAATCTGTTCTGGACATCGATCATTACTTACAGAGAAGTGAGCCAGGTAGAGTCGAGGGTAGGTATGATTTCCGTTTCCATTGACAATCGGAGACTCCAGGACTGCAGCATCCTTCAGGTCAATACCGGACGAAGTGTCCCACAGAAAGCCAGAGTAGCTCACTCCCTGGAACAAGAGGATCATGGGAAATGGAGTCAATATCCATTGAGGTAAGAGGTAAGATGACCCTTAGTGATCTCTGTGAGGAAACTACTTTTTTGCGGCAGTGAAGACTTAAAATGTAAAGAGCAAAAAAAAGATAAGGAATGAAAACAACTTTTCAATAAAACTGTGCATAAATGTTTGAATAAACAAATAAGGACTTAGTGAGAAAAATAAAAAGTAAAGACTTCGACGCAAAACAATGCACTTGTACAGCATAAAATGATTTTAAAAAACTAAGTATCAAACTGTGTGTTGTCTCTCTAAATTCCCTCATGTGATGTGTAGCTGCTTCAAGTATTTCTGAATTGTTTTCTGTCCTAGGACATTCTATGTAAATCCACCCTTTAAACAGCGTTGTGTAAGACGGCTGATGTACCTTGCTGGAGTGTCCCGTCGGGTTTTCAGACACGACACTTTTCCACAGCCCTCGTGGCCATTTCCACTTCCGTACGCTGGCCAGAGTCCCTTGGTTTAACTCCACACAGAACTGCAATAGAAAACAGAGAGAGGACATTCTGTCAGCACTTTGCACAGACACCAGATGTGTTGGTGGTTGCACTTCATGATTTTGAAATAGTGTAAATGTTGATTGTAGTTTTAGTTCTGCTGACTTAGACGTAGAAACACAGAAACACGCTAAATAAATCACTTGTAATGAATGTTTAACTGTCGGAGCAATATTATTAACAATGTGGTTGTTTGGCTGAAATTCAGAACTGTACATTACAAGACACCAGTGCCAACTAAGCACCCCGTGAGTTGATAATTATGAGAATCAAAGTATGGTATTGTAAACATAAAAACCCCACAGGGGCTTGAACACTTAAAGGGACACAGTGAACTTGGAACATATCTCCTGGTGTTTATAACTAAATGCCAACAGGACTTAATCTCTGCTTCTGATCAGTTTCTAATCATAAGTGCAGGTCACATGGAGTGTTGTTCTTTATCAGAATACCTGAGGGCAGATTAACTGGTCGTCAGCAAAAATAAGTTCTGCTTAACAGTCTACCAGACACTGAGAACCAATATAGAGTTCAGTGAACTCAAGTAGCCTCATCTCAGAGAGGAAATACAGTGAGAAGGAGGAAGCCTCGTGTCGACATCACTGAGAGAGGGCTAAACCAGCAGTGGTGTAACATTCTGGAGGCAAAGGTTACTTTGAGTCATAATGAAATAAGTAGGAGAAAGGAATAGAGGGAGCTGCACACATGCTCACGGAGACTCAGGTTACTGCTCTGGCTGACCTGCCATGGCTCTATATTTAACCCGAGAGGTTCCCTTTGGGGCTCCGGGAGAGACAGAGGAACCCCACCGAGAGCACGCACATACATGACCTCTCCACGAGAGGCCCACACTGAAATGACACCCATTCACTTTTAAGGTGACACTAAAGTGACATTTTAATAATGAATGTGTAGTAGTGTCGAGCAGAAGTCTCACAGAAATGTGCAGTTTCTAAAGCACGGTTTTAAATGACTAATTTGTGCACTAACTGAGCGCAGCATTTAACAATACAGTTGACGTTTAACATTTGTTTACAGGGCGTAAAAGAAAACACAAAGTTGTTTGACATGTAAAAAAAGAGAACTCTGGAGAACACCAGTGCTTTTATATTAAACTGCATTAAAGTTAAAAGTCAAGTACAGTAGGAACTGAAGTTGGGTTGTTGTGTCTACTCCAGTTTGTTAATGAGGAACTCCCAGTGTTAGCAGGAGGCTAGCAGCTGTGATTTGGGTATTACGGTGCCCCAAATGTCCCCTTTGTACCCTTTTTAATATAGCGTTATATTGTATATATACAGTATATAGGTGGTCAACTTTGGCTGCTGTCAGAGAGCTGAACATATAGATTGTTTAGCAAATATCAACGTGGTGCAAAATGTCAAAATCGACATTGACAGTAACGATGTCACTCTCTATCACACAGAGAGTAACATTGCTCGCTGTATACACATTTTTCGAGCTCCATCTCCTAGAGTTTGCTCGCTAGATTAGACGTTTTCTATGCTTTTTTTTTTTTTTTTTTAATGCTGAAAGGAACTTTTGTGTGACTCTTTGTGGAGAAACATGGGACTAAAACTCAAACCACTTCCACAAGCGCAGTGCAAAGCTAGATAACACTAATGAACACTCATCTCTGTCAAAGTCTATCAGGTCACCTCAGCGCTACCACAGCTCTATCAGGCGGCAGCGAGATATACAATCACATAGAACTGCATTATTTTTATCGCCGCGGAGCGATAAAATTAATAAGCAATTTCAGACTGCCGGGAGGTTAGAAACCCCCAACAGGATTTACTTTCAGCTGTAGTCCCCAGGGGCCATTGAGCCTGTAGAGTGAACAAGGATGAATTGCTCACGAGTACAACTTTGCCAAAACACCCTCATAATTCAGCTTGTGGGGCACAAAGTGCTGCACAGCATGCAGTCAGGGCCCTGGCGAGGAGCCCAGCAGGCCTGGAGGAATCACCTGGCAGAGCTGGAGAGTCCTGTGATACCTGGACCCCACCATGTAGGTACAACAACAGAAACTGGCTCGTTTCTCGCTGCCAAGGATTTAATTATCCGATTACGAGAATGATTGTTTATCAATAGAACAGACAGAGGATGTAAAACCTGCTCACCATCACTGAGAAAGCCTGAGAACATAAACCTGTCACTGCAGGATTATTTGACTTTGGGCTTAAAGACGACGCATTTTCAAAAGTAAAGAAACAGGCGTGGAGTTTGAAAGATGTGGGATCTAACCAAACAAGACAAGGGACATTTGAAAAAATTCTGCAGCTTCAATTGATCTTTTTAAATTATTTCAATTTCCTCACCCTGAGAAGAGCTCTAAGAATAGCATAATCATCTTATAATTATCTTTAATTATTTAGAAGTGTGGCTGTAATGAACCCTGCAGCCTCTAGGAGCTGCTCGCAGAACTTGGACAGAAAGCATAAATGACTTGAGGTTGTAAAATAGCGTTTGTCTCCGTTCTTCCTGTTTTGCATGTCTATACTCTCTCATGAGTATGTTTCTGCTTTCAGATCTCTCTTGAAAAGAGATCTGAATCTTGTGTGGCTGATTTAATAAAGGCTGAGCAGATATCCTGATTGAAGCTTCTTTTCTTTCTGTTCCCCGGGGGGGGGGGGAAACCACTCATGATCAGTCTGACTGAAACATGAGCAAAAAAAAAAAAAAACCAAGAACAACTGCCGCCTCATTAAAGCAGGATGGACAAATGAAGACATTTAAGAGCAAACAGAAGAGAACTCACTGAACCCTCAGGGGACTGCCAGATAACCGGGTCTGGGTTTGCCAAAATCCACAAAACAACAAGGACAGAGAGAGAGAGAGAGCGAGAGAGAGAGAGAGAGAGAGAGAGAGTTTGTGTGTTTTTGAAGTATCTATAAAGGTGTAAAGCTAGGCCATTTGTCCAGTTATGCATAGTAATTATTGTATTTGCATCAAAGTTTTTTTCACAGTAACCAGGAAGGTATTTTACAGGATGACTAATCCTGAGTTTGAAACCTAACCACAGACAGAGAGGGTTCCTTAGCGACAAAACAGACAGAAGATAACAGTGTAAAACCGGCACACACTTCCTGTATGACCAATCACAACATGTGTCTGGCAAACATGTCCACCAAAGTCACAATGAAATGCTCTCATGGGGGAAATTGTCTTATACACTAAATGGACATTTACCACACGAATGAATAGCCACCAAAAGTCTTTAATGATGACATGAATCCTAATGGTGCATATTTTAACAGATTGGTCACTTATAATACTTTGTATGTAGTTTATATTACTTCTATGAGCTAATTGCTCATTTTATTATATGTACAGCCCTTTATATGAATGCTTTGTGATATTGGGCTATAAAAACCTTTTTGACTTAAGACTATTATACTAAATAAATATAATGTGTAGAGAATTTAACACATGCTTTCTCTTCTATATGTGAACCAAATACACTACCAGCAAAACACTACAGCAATCATAGCGATATGACATTTATAGAGTTCCCAACGTCATTCAAAGCAATGAGAGGCTGTTTAGAAACTTTTATTCAATTATTTATGAAATTTTAGGCCCTAAAAATATATATCTGAGAAAAAAAACGAAGGCATTACAAGTTTATTTTGACAAGCCGCGCCGCACAGAGTGAAGTGAAAGATCTAAGAGAGAATGGACAACGTCTCTCAATCACTCGGCAGGAAGAGGCACTGCGGGGATAGAAGATGAAAAGGGTGCCAATGAATAAGACAAGACAGAATAGATGAGAAAACAGGCAGCAAATCAGTGTGGGAGGCTGGCAGGAGTGAAAACACTGCAACGTGCTACCACTTGTGCTAGAGGTAACTCATCCTCCCACCACCTCCCTCTGTCCGTCCAAAATACTCTGTTGCTGACCTACTTCCCTTTTCCACAGAGCTCCGATTCCTCTGCCAACGATCCAGCCAATACAGAAAGTGACATTGCACATGTGCAAAGAAGTGTGTAGGCTGAACGGGAACGCATCGTACTGCCCAGAGCCGTCTGTTGAACTTGTGATATTTTGTGGATGCACTGACATCTGAGCGTTAACGCAGTCGCCCCACATCTGTGCTCAGAAAGAGAGTGAGCGATATGACTGTGCAGCACACTTCATATATCAGTGCTGAGTGAGTTTACCCAAAGTATACGTACTGACAGATTGAGGTCCAAAAATAAAGGTGCAATGTGTAATTCCTGGTCACATGCATCATTCAAAAGAAAATGGTTCTCAGCCCTGTTGATTTGAATGTGAATGTCTGTTCTACTCTCACTCTATTTCTATGATTTCACCTCTACCACTGGGTCCATACAATCTGGATTTACAGTTTTAAAAACTAGCATTACCACCCCGCGGTTGTCTGCCTCCGCCAACCATTCATGTTGCAGTTTGCATATATGTCCAAATGTCATAGCATAGCATAATTAGCACATGAATTCTGGGCCAAAAACGTGTTTTGTGAGGTGAGTGACCTTTCACCACCAGACACAGAGAGACAGAGACAGACAGATAGACAGATAGACAGAGACAGACAGAGAGAGAGAGAGAGAGAGAGAGAGAGAGAGAGAGAGAGAGAGAGATGGTGGGTGCATTTGCATAACAGCAACACATTAAATAAATGGGAAACACTGAGCGAGAGTTTCTGAGTACATTCAGAGTGTTGAGTCATCTCATTTACATTGCTGCAAATCACAGCCGGCTGCAACACCTCCAGTAGAAATCCTCCCAATCAACCAGTGTGACCCCGGCAGAGAGCAGCTCCACTTTACCTTATCGAGAGCCTCCCGCTCCAGCAGGTCCTGCACTGCCAGTAACTTGATGCTGGAAACAGACAGAGAGGATGGGTTTTTACATTTACATATTCACATCTTGAACATATCTACACTGAGCAGCTGACACCCACACACCACAAACTGTTTCACCGGCTGAGACGTGCAAGACCACCATTCAGCCGGAGTAGAATTCGCCTCCGTAAATGAAAGGTTTTTATCTGCGTTCTTAGCGGTTTTGAGATATTGAGCTTCAAAACGTTTTTGCATTTCAAATCTCTTTCATACATGAAAATGACAGATACCCTATATGCACAATATCAAAATCATATCATATTCATACTTTTCTTTTTTTGTGGAACAGCTCAAATGCATGTTTTAATCCTCAGAGCTAATTTTCCAATTGAAACTTTCAGGTTTTATCTTGAAAAACACAAACAATTTACTCATAAAGTGTTTTAAAACATACAATTTGTGTTATAACAGAGTGTCTACAAGTATGAGAAAGTTCAATTTAATGCTTTTTATGACATTTTTACAATATTTATTTATTGTTTTAGGTATTTGACGAGTTGGGAGTGAGAATGGATTGGCAAGACCCTCTAGTGTATTGAAATGAGGGCTTGTTTTGTTTTTAAAGTGTTCAACAAAGAAGACAGAGTAATTTACTCTTTCAAAAGTTACATAGTCTTAAAATTATTGTGAAAAATTATTGTATTACCTAATTATAACTAATATAAACTAAATGATAAACCTTTGGTTACGACCAAAACAAAGAACCATAAAATAATACCACATTACCCAAAAAAAGGTTAGTTAGGCGCCAAAGAAGGAGGCTGGAAACGTGGCAATCTCAAAAAGGGAGACATTTTCTCCCCCAGACTTCCAGCGGTATATCGAGCCATGCCTACACCCCCAATACAATGGAGTTGAACATAATTTCATCTGTGGCACTCCGAGCAATAAAAAGAAACACAGTGACACAGTGTTTAACATATACAGTCATGTTTGATAGTGCTTAAACCTAACCTGGCCATGTATTCTATCATGTCTGATAGTGTTGACACAACAGACACAAGTGGACACTGGTCAGACTGGATCCTCAACATGATCAAAAGCACATTTCCTCAGGGGAAATTCAATGTTTCTTTTTAAACTGTCAGAGAGCTGAATAACTCTCTCTAACTCCTATTGAGGGAGTTTGGATTGGTGTCATAAATTCTATCTGCCAACACATTATTGCATTGTGAAGGAGGGGGCCTTTACAGCCCAAAATACATTTATCTGTATACTTTTTAAATGACTTTCCAGACCAACAGTCAGCACAATAAAAAGAGCGTGTCTGAGAGGCACCAGTGCTTCTCCTCCTGCCTTCATTTGGCTCTGACGAGGAACTGTTTTGCAATGCAATTTGCGACAGAAGTGACGAAAGCATTACCCAGTATTTCATTTGGATTAATGTCTTTTACAAATGGCCATCTGCACATAAAAAAAGTCCTATGAAGGGAATCAAATAAGTTCCCAAAATTCTGCTAGTTGACACCCGCAATCTTCCAGAGCTCAATCTGAGCCATTTATTATATTAGAGCAAGAGGACAAAAAGTGCTGCATTATTCTAATGCCCACACTCACACAGCTCAGCCTGCAGTGCCATATGCTTAACTGATTCACTGTGTGCAACACAATGAAACGAAGTTGGTGGCAATGTTTTGCCCTCCAACCTGCTAATCCACAAAGAAAATCACATTGCATAACAGTCTTTTCTATTAGTGAAGTGTTGCTGCTGCTCCTGGGCATTACAGGAGGTCTGTTACCACTCCACACTGACTCACATTCACTTCACTGAGTCACCAGGCAGCAACAGCATCATATGTAACGTAATCAGTCGGGCAATTGTGAGGGAGAACACAGAGGAGTTACGGCACAAATCCTCTACAAGGTTGCTCACTTCATGCTGCAAAGGCTGCAGAGCTGTGGAGGACAAAGCCGGCCAAGAGGAGAGCACTTCCTGCACCTATTTAGACTGACCACCATGCTGTTACGCAGCATTAAGGTCCTGCAGGAAAGATGGCAGAGAGACCTCCCCACCACAGAATATCATTCACCTTCTGTTGCAGGTTTTACAGGAGGTAGAGACAATTTCTTAAGTGCAACATCCTATCGTTTCACCTAATGCGCATCAATTGAGGACCGTAGCCATAGAAGTCAAACGTTTCTTTTTGTGCCCAGATCTAGAAAATAATTGCTATTTGTATGGTTTTCTTTGCATCCCATCACCACAAGCCTTCTTTGACTTAATGCGAGGTAAAAATGAAATACCAAAGTACGGTTTACATTTTGTAAAGTGCTGCACATGGGTTAACGGTAGCGCGCAGCCAGCTAGCGGCGCTAACAGCGCAAACAGTGCTAACAACGACACCAGGAGAGAGTCTGAATATCATCGAGAGGCCTTTTAAACCTTTCAGTTGACCTGACTGACACAAACAACTAGCGTGTGCTAACACCCTCTTAATTCAGCTGATGTACTATTAATGCATGCCGACAAAAAAACAGTAAGCATTGCATTGTACCAGGACTTTACTACAGCCACAATCTGCACTAGTTGAAGATATGTAAATCTTAATCCTTAACACATTCACTGGGACTGGAATTAGAATCAATTGAAGCAGCTGCTGATGCATATTCAGCAGGCCGCAGCTCGTCCAGTGGGTGAAGGATAAAGAGGCATGGAGATGAAAATGGATCTAGATGAGTGGAAAACTCAGGAAAAGGAAATGTCCAACAGTTTGTTTGAATTTGTTATAGAAGCTGGCTCTTCTTACTCAATACACATGTGCTTTGTACAGTACTTGTTACTTCATATTTTCCAGCAAATCACACAGCAAATCATAGAAAAAGACAAAAGCCTGCTGGTCTGGAGGCTGCAATGTTCAGAACACCAGACACTACAAGAGTAACACACAACATACTGATGAAGCTTCACAGACTGGTGAGATCGGTGGATATCGTTTAGGATGGCGCTACGAGAATGCTCATTAATTGTGCAAAATAGAAAGAGTTGATCCAAAACAACACGCTAATTCAGTTTGTGAAATTACAAAGCTATGGCCACCCCTAAGGCAAAAGTGTAATTAAACTAAAATTATGTCTCAGGGAGCTTCTATAATTCATGGTAACATTGTGAAGTTTTTGGCCACTAGTAATGCCACGGAGCAACGTTTTTAAAAGTGGGTCCCTCGTTTCGCAAGCACACGGGTGATGCCCTACACGGTCCTGCTGCCGGCTTTATGCTAATCCACTGCTTAACAGTTTGTGGTGGTAACGCACAAGGACTCGCCCTAATGCAACAAAAAAGCAGGTTTAAAAAAAAAATCTGCTTTGCAAATGAGGAACTTTGTTATGTCTCAGGGACACACACAATATGTTTAGGTGAACAACACAACAACCGTAATGTCAGTGGACATTAGCTAGTGTTGGCCAACTGTCAGCTCTTTAAAATAACCACTACTTGCAGATGTGTGTTTGAAATGCATTGCTGTCCACAGGCCTTCGAAGTGAAACAAAATACATTTTAAGAAAAGCTTGAAGCCCTCTTTACAAATGGACGATCAGTTCCAATATTCCTTGTTTCAGTTTCCTACTGCCTGCCCCACCAGACTGAACAGCCTCACATTACGTAACACAGAGAGTCTGAGCAGAAACTCCTGTCGCCTTCGTAATCAGCGAGACCACAGATCCTGTTTTCAGAGCAAACAGGCCTGCAGTCACAGAGATGACACCTCTTTCCTCTGCTGAAGGTGTGATCACTCCGCACAATGAAAGAAGCTCTCACAGAAACCCTGCTTCGCTCCCACTGGCTAAGATTCTGATCCTCCCGTTTCCACTGGCCAGTATTCAATCCCAGCACACCCTGAGTTAACCTGAGCTTCAGCCATGTCATGAGGACATGGAGGAAAATGCTGAGTCTGTGAGGCAGTGAGTGCTTTGATTGTACTCCCAGGCCTTTAGAGGCCAATAAAATGTGCTGTGTCTATAGGAGATAGTCCTGATGCAAACAACACTTAAGAAAGCGTTAAGTGCAAAAATACAAACAAAGCTTGCAGAAACACTCCGTGACATCAAGCCTAATCCATCAGTGTCACTGTGACAACAGAGCCTGCCGTCGATGCGGTGGATCTCTGGGGCCCCATATCTAGAGCTGCTGTGCAGACACAAACACAACACCATGGAGCAAAACAGTCTGCTTCAGTGTTTGTCAGATAAAGGCAAAATCTGAGGACAGACACAAGGTTGCATTAGAAGTGACGAGCGGCAGCAGCGGTGATGAACTTGAACATAAGTAATGGCTCTCAGGACTCTTCTAGCCCTGAACGAGGAGAGGCCACCGAGCTGCAGTTCAGCACACATTTAAAGAGCGCATCGCCTGATGGGTTGCTGACTAAATGAACTCGCGAAAATATAAAAGCATAACTATGAGCTAAGAGACGCAGACCACGTCCCGTCACCAGTAAAATTCTAACATATAAGTACCCCATCAACTTCACAACTGCATTTGTTTACATTTGTCGCAAACGACAAACACTAACAGCTAACTGTGCTAGCTACAAACGTAACGTGTTTACAGACAGCAGCATACAGAGAGCAGCTGCAAAAGCTACAAAAACCTTTTTCGATCCACCTTTCCAGCCTACACAGGGTGAGTGTTGGATACTCCAAACATGGGTTTTAGGTGGAATATTCCTTTAGCATAGCGGTGTGTAGGATTTAGTGACATCTAGTGGGGAGGTTGCAAATTGCATCCAGCTGAACATCCCTCCGCTCATCCCTCCCTTTCCAAGCTTGTCGGAGGAACTACGGTGGCCTTTAGGTGACAGAAAAACGCGAAAGGCTCTGGCTAGAGCCGCCAGTGTTTGGTTTGTCCGTTCTGGGCTACGGTAGAAACATGGCAGACTCTTCAAAGAGGATCTGCACAGATGTAGATACGAAGGGCTCATTCTAAGGTAACGAAAACCAGAATCTTAGTTTAAGGTGATTATACACTAAAAATAACAT